CCCCCCCCCCCCCCCCCCCCCCCCCCCCCCCCCGGGGGCCCCCCCCCCCCCCCCCCAGTGCACAAATTTTTGTGCACCGGGCCTCTAGTATATATAATAAAATTATTTGACAGCAAGAAAGTCTTACATTTTTTTATATTGAATGTCAGGACAGCACAGCAGAGTAATAGCTGTTTAAGTCAGAGCACAGGCAAGTGTAGTCTTCCTGGAGGTACATGCCCGACAAATCTGCAAATAAATATTTGTCTAACCCCTGGGTTGTAAATATTCTGTATCCTCTAAGTTCTTTTATCAGCATATGGCATAAGTGCCTGAAAAAAACATATTATAGATGTCTCCTCCCCCTGCCCCAACTTTAACACCATCTACTCCTCGCCTACCTCCCCTCCCACTATTATCTGTGTCCCTGGGTTATGCATATATGTATATAAGTTCTTTGGTTAATTTCTTCCCACCCACCCCTCCCCTCTTCCCTCTGGGATTCGTCAGTCTGTTCAATGTTTCCATGTCTGTGGATCTATTTTGTTCATCAATTTATTTTGTCAATTAGATTCCACATACGTGTGAGATCATGTGATACTTGTCTTTCTCTGACTGGCTTATTTTGCTTAGCATAATACTCTCAGGTCCCTCCATGCTGTCTCAAAGGGTAAGAGATGCTTCTTTTTTACAGCTGCATAGCATTCCATTGTGTAAATGTATCACAGCTTTTCTATCCACTCATCTACTGATAGGCACTTGGGTTGTACTTTTTTCCTCTAAGAGGCTGCTTTTGTAATTCCAGTTTCATGAACACTTGGAACTTTGGATTAGGACCTGGTGGCTTCCCCCTTTCCTATCCCTGTCTCCCCTTCCCCAATTGACACCTTCTGATATTGAAAATGACCTTTTTTGTTATTGTTAATTCTCACCTGAGGATATTTTTTCTATTGATTTTTAGAGACAGTAGAAGGGACAGGGAGAGACACAGAGAGAGAAAGATCGATGTAAGAGAGACACATCGATTGGTTGCCTCCAACAAGGCACCCCAACTGGGGCTGGGGATCAAGCCAGCAACCAAGGTACATGCCCTTGACGGGAATCGAACCCCAGACCCTTCAGTCCAAGAGCCAACGCTCTAACCATTGAGCACCGGCTACGGCGAAAATGACCTCTTGTGTTACTTCAGGTCCTGCAACCCAATCCTGCCAACCCTGAGGCTGTCGAACCCCTTCACAGAGGGACTGTCCCTTTCTCCTTCACCTTTCCTCTTAACTCCCCTTTTACACCTGTTGCCCAGCGTTCCCCAGAAGATGCCCCACCCCTCAATCTCCCTCCAGAGAGTGTCTTCTCCCTCTTCCTGCTCGTTATCCTCTATGTTGCCCCTTGTAGGTCCTGGTCCTCAAGAACAGGTAAGGAGTATCTGTCCTTAAAAGCTCCTCTCATTGTTTTCTCATAAGGACTCTGACTCTGTAACTATATCCGGAACTCAGACACTGAGCTGCTCCCTTCTGTCTGGTTAGTGCACGAGGCTGGCTCCACCCAGGACGAAGGTGCTTGCCAACCCCGCTTCTGCACAATCCTTTGCAGCCAGCCAGCCACGGCCAAGGACATCAGTGTAAACGCAGTATCCATGGAAGGCCTCTGGATGAACCCAACTGGGCTGCCCATCACAGCCCTGGTCAGCCCTGGTCAACCTCCTGAATCAGACAGGAGGGTGTGGGGCCACGGGACTCTATTGTTAACAAGCTCTTTGGAGGATTGCAATGGAGAGTCAGAATTGGGAAATGCCAATTAGTGTGGTGCCCCACGTTACAGGCTTGAAAAGAGGCCATAATGAGAGACATGCCTAAGCACACACACCTGATTAAGGATAGGGTTGGGGCCAGAACCCATAGGACTGCTCTTGAGCTCTTTCCACTAACCTCCCTCCTGCCGCACCCTCCAGCAGGCATGACCTGGCCCTTTGCCTTAGGCTGCCTCCCGTTCCCACAGCTACACCCTCACTTGGCCAGAGGAGATAGACCTTCCCAGGAAATGACCCCAAAGGCTTCCACTCCACATGTGCTACTAAAAGGAGTTTTTTGGGTAAAATAGGAATTTTGGGGGGTGAAATAGGCAAGTTTAGGAAATTTTAAAAATTAAGGGGTCCATGGAAAAAACACAGGGCTATGGAGTTGCAAAAGGGTACATTTCCATAAGACAAGGGAATGGCAGAAGTTATATTTCCATAAGACAAGGGACCTGGGAGTAGCAAAAGGTACACATTTACAGAATAAAGGGAAGGAGGATGAAAGCCCAGAGGGAATAGGGAAACAATAAGGAAGGAGGGGAGGAGAGCCTCACATGTCCCATGTGAGGTTAAACCTTTGAGCTCAGGAGTTGCTATAGTGACCAAATCAGAAGGGATAGTGACCAATCAGAGGGGATAGTGACCAATCAGAGGGGATATCAAGGCACACAGATCTGCAGCCTGTGGAGAACCATGGAAAAAGGGACTTGAGGGGACTCTTTCTCCCTCCCCACACGAGAGTCTGTGCTGTGAGATTCTTTCCCTCTCCCAACGTGGGGGAGTCTGTACTTGTTCTTCAATAAATTTCCACCTTTACTATACCATCTTTCATCCCTGGTTTCATTCTTCGACTCCGACGGACAAAGAGCCCGGGAAAAGCCATCCTGCCCAGGGAACACCGGGTGTTCCAGTCCAAAAATCCTGTATCACTATTAAATGAGGCAAGTTCACTGGGCGTGGGGATCTGACACACAGGCCTCCCCATCTGCAGTCAGATGTTCTTCCCCTGAGCCACAAGTCCACTTCCAACTGTTTCCTAATTGACACCATTTCACGACTGTGGCCTCCCCTGGGAGGGATTTCCCAGTAACCCAGTGGGTCAGCCCCATGTCCTGGCTGACTCAACCTCTCCTGGCCATAAGCTTCCTCCTCCTTCTCCACTGACCCCTCATCTGAGTGCCCAGTCTCCTCTGCCCTGCCCAGCACATTCCCCTCCTCTATCGCTAGCTGATGCACCAGGGGTGGGAAACGTCCAGTCCCGGGCCATATAAGGCCCGAGAAATCATTTGGTCTGGCCCTGCCACGGCATTAGGAGTGAGTTAATTAAATGTTTGACGAAATACAGCAGGCCAATTTTTAAGTTGATAATTTTGTATGGCCTAAGAATGATGTTATAAATATCCAAATGGCCCTTGGCAGAAAAAAAGACACCTCACTGGGACAGCCCCACTGCTTCTTTCCCATTTGTTCTAAAATCTCCCCAGTACTCTCTCTGCACCCTACCTCACAATCACAGCCACTCAGTGGGCATGGAGGACCAGGGCAAAGACCTGTTAGGATTGGGATTCAATTATTCTTATTACACAGATAAGTTCAGTGAGGTAAAAAGGAGGAGGAAAGAAACTATTGCTTTAAAAAAACTCACATCAGTGTCTTGCCTGCCGTTGAATGCATTATAGATTTTCAACAAATACTTGTTGACTGAAAATATATAGGAAAATTTAAAAATACAAATAAGCCCTGGCCGGTTTGGCTCAGTGGATAGAGCGTCGGCCTACAGACTCAAGGGTCCCAGGTTCGGTTCTGGTCAGGGGCATGTACCTTGGTTGCGGGCACATCCCCAGTGGGGGGGTGTGCGGGAGGCAGCTGATCGATGTTTCTCTCTCGTTGATGTTTCTGACTCTCTATCCCTCTCCCTTCCTCTCTGTGGAAGATCAATAAAATATATTTAAAAATAAATAAATAAAAATACAAATAAGCACCAGGAAGAAAATAAAAATTAATCTCACCAGTAAATCACTGCTGTTAACAGTTTGGTTGTTATTTTTCCAAACTTAAAAATTTATAGCCCTCGGCTGGGATCTAACTTCTTGCTGCTATGGGTGTCCAGCTACTAGGTAATCAAAATACAGTCAAACCTTGTTTCTCGAACATCTTCCATCTCGAACAATTCGGTTCTCGATCAAGTTGTTCACAAAGGAAAATTTCTTGGTTGTGGACCAAAACTTCAGTTTTTGACCTAACTACACTTTCATGCTGATACTTCAGTCTCAGCATGACAAAAAGCATCTTGCAGGCTACAAACGAAAGAGAGAATGCTTTTGTTGATGGTGATTAGAACAATTTTAAAACATAAAGAAGCCATTAAGAATGCTAATGTTGCTAAGGGTGTTCAAATGCTCACAAAACAGCAATCACAGGCAGTTGAATAAGTAGAAAAACTGTTGTTGAATGGCTGTAGGAAAAGCAGTTAGCCTGTGATAGCATTTCGGAGGCCGTGAAAGGGGATGGTTCGATATTACGAAAAGTGTTTGTTTATAGTTTAAACAGTACAGTAGATATGTACTGTATATAAGAAAGGTTGAAACAGGGAATCATTTGGGGGGTCTGGAACAGATTAATTCAATTTACATTATTTCTAATGGGAAAAATGATTCCGTTTTCAAACAGCCTTCTGGAACGAATTAAGTTCGAGAAACGAGGTTCCACTGTACATAAATGTGTATTTGTCTTGTTGTTAATCCTCACTGGAGAATATTTTTTCATTGATTTTTAGAGAGAGTGGAAGGGAGAAACATTGATGTGGAGAGAGACATTGATTGGTTGCCTTCTACGCACGCCCGGCTGGGGATCTAGCCTGAGGTACGTGCCCTTGACTAGAATGGAACCCGGGACTCTTCAGTCTGAGGACCAACATTCTATCCACTGAGCCAAATCAGCTAGGGCTGTCTTTGCTTTATTTTTATGGATGTGCAAAGATGTATGCACATGGTTGGTCATTGCAAAGTGATGTATAAAAATGGAACAATACTCTGCAGTGCATTCTATGTAGGCACTAGAACTCCATAGGGACAGAACCTGGGATCAGCACTCTGGATCTGCAGTCACTTCCGCCTAGCATGAGGTGATCAAGGGAAACCTTTAGCCTCTTCCACTAAGAATCTTCTGTCTTCAATTCAAATTAGAAAACACATATCCATGACAGCATCTTTCAACATTTCCAGTCTACAAAGACATAGATAGGATTGAAATGGTTTTCAAAGATGCTCAAGCTTCAGTAAATAATGTATTTCTAAAGGTTGTGTTAGGGCAGAAATAGAATTTTGGGGATCAGCTATAATTATAAGAAATATTAACATGCCCTGTTAATTGTGATTGTTTTGTTTTGATTAAAGAAGGCACATTCTAACCTGGTTGGGAGTTGCACGTGAGACCTGGGAGCTCACCTGGAAATGCGGCCCATCCTCTACATCCGGGAGCTGCCTGTTATCATGTAAAGCTTAACAACCTTGTCGCAGAAACCAAAGGCCCTTTGTATACCCCTGGCTTTTGCAAACCTCCAGCCTGTATTTACCTGTAAACTGCTCATTTTGCATACCCATTCTTATCCCTTTTGCCTACTTCCCCAAGTAATCTTTGTCCTTCTACCCAATATAAGCAGCTGGCTTATGCAGGAGTGCAAAGCAGATGGATGACCTGCTACTCTCTCATACTGCTGACATTATTGGAATAAACGCTCATATAAGATTCAACCCTGTCTCTGCTTAATTGGCTCAAGTAGCACAGACCCCTTGGTTGTCCAGTTACAGTTGTATTGATTGGGTTGTCTTCTAACCATTGTGTTGGTTGAAGATATGGAGTGGGAACGTGGGAGGGGGCGGGGTGCGCATGTCACACATAATAAATACATTCCATCCTTCCAATCTCTCAGTCTTTAGATTTAGTCTCCAAGACTTTGTGGCATCTCAATTTTATCTACCTTTGAACAAGTTTGATTTCTACTTTTAATCAACAAGTTGAGCAAACAATCAAAATAATCCCCAGATATTCCAGGTAGGACAGTGTTAGGTCGCTGAAGGAGGAACGCACGAGGCCAGAATGGTGAGGTATTACAAATTTATTCGATCACTGGCACACCAGGTGGCTGAGACTGGATGGCCCCAGCACCCAGTGACGGGAGTCAGCGGCTTTTAAAGGACTTTTGGCGGGCTTTTTTCTGAGCGGAGACTTCTTTGTGTATTCCCCGAGGGGAGATAATGGAATGTGGTCACCACAAGTGAAATGTGGTCTCAGCAAAGGGAATGTCCATAGTGAAATGACCTGAAAAGCCAGTTCCCAGGGGAGGGGTATAGATTCAATTATTTGATCAGACCTAACAGACAGTGGGTCCAGAATTCAGCCAAGTTTAACACTGTATCTTTCTTTCCCTGGTCAAGAATTCATTTCCACACACAATCCCCCGATTTGTGCTGTTGTCTTACAGGTTATTTTTGTGTATGAGCCTTCCTTGCAAGGTGTGACTTTGTAATTGGCTCCCCAGGGCATGGTGGGATTTCCTGAAGTTACAGATCAAAATAAAAAGAGGGGTGGGGTGAGGGGAGAAGGGGCTTTATTAGTGGACAAAAGGAGGTTCCAAAGATTTTGTGCTTAGGTATAGTTTGGGTTCTACAAATCTTGTGAATGCCCATGACGAGTCTTGGGGGACTCACTCTTTCTGCATCAGAACCCTAAATTTTCACACAGGGAAGCTGTGAATTAAATTGACTCTAATTCAACAGTCTTGCAGAATCAAACACTGCCCTTGGTTGTCTGCTAAGTCATATGGCTGCTGGAGGTTTTAGTTCTTCTCATTGAGCTTTGCACGGTGTCCCTAGGCTCTCTGCTGCCTTAGGCACCAGTCGGCATTACTGTCTGCTTCTGAGAAAGGATATAGAAATGTGCACCAATTCCATGACACTTCCAATGCAATGACAACAAGCAAATGGGTATCCGGAAGCCCTGCCTTGTGGGCACTGCATTGCAGATGACAATCAGCAATAATTTACTTAGCTGTTGTGCCAGATGCCCAGACCTAAAGAACCAGTTAGAGATTTCCTCTAACTCTAGCCTTAACTAGTCTGGATAATCAATACCATCAATACCATTTTCATGCGTATCCTGTTGCCTGAAACCCACTTCTAATCCCAATTTATGTTCCAGTTAGGAAATTTGGGTTTAAAACAGGAACTAACTTTGGCTCCCTGAAACAGGTAAGGCAAACCTATTACTGAAGAGAAGGCTGGAGAAAGAAGCTTAGAAATGGGGCCAGATCCAAGGGGAACTGAGCAGCCAGAGTTCAGCCAAGGTCACACAGAGCCCCAGTCTGTGAGGAAGTGTCTTCCACTGGAGCCAGTGCCAGAAGGGAGACTAAACTCCTGCTTCTGGATTTCTCTCTCTTGATGTACAAACTCGGAGTGGCTAAGCTTAGGGCATGTGTCCAAGCCCTCACTGCCAAACAATGGGAGATGAACTATCTGGTATTTTGGTTTATGTAGTAAGAGATGAGGGTATGACTTTTAATAAATTATGTTCATGTAATTGCAGATTGCCAAAACATATAAATAAGGTTCAGGCAGTCAAAAAAAGAAAAAGAAAACATAAATGTCCCCCACAGTCTACTTGAACAGGGCTGCAGGGGAGCAAAGAAGCCTTCCTATAGATCTGAACTATGCGCAGGTTCATTATCAAGGAACTCAGCATGGGAGAGGAAGCTCGAGTCCCAACACTCAGAGCGTGGATCTGAACCTGGGATGGTGTGACCTGCTTTCCCAAGTAAGAAAAATGAATCTAGCTAATGAGCACTTTTTGCCTCCTGAACAAAATCCACAACTTCAATACTAAGAAGTGTTTCTTGTTTGGTATGCTTCTTGACAGATGGTGCCACTGTAAATTACCTCTCCTACTACCCTGCTCCATTTTCCCCTAGGTCCCACCTCTACACCCTGGCAGTCATCTATGCCTATTGACTTACTGAGTGAAACAATGGTAAATTGGATCTCTAGGGGACAGAGTAAACAATCAGTAGATTGATTTATAGTGTTTGCCAATTTCCATGGTGTAAATACTCTCACCACAGATTATTTCAAAGCTAGCAATGGTTTAACAGAGCTGGAAGTGCCTTTAGAATCATTCTGAATTGTGGTGCCTGAAAGGGCGAGGGCTACGCCCTCCATCTTGCCCCGAATCCTCCATTTTTGGGCAGCAGCCATGTGCTCAGCAGAGGCTTCTTCCTGGAAGTCCAAGCCTCTGCTAGCCACACCTAGGATTTCTTTAAACTAACCAATGATAATCAAAGGAAGTGCGCGCCATAGATATGACCACATCCTGTGTAACGAGACACCGACTTGCGCCTGGCCAATCAGCAGGGCCCACAGTCCTCTCTCCTCCCCTTACTCCAACCCCCCTATTAAACCCCTCTTCCCATGGGGCTCTCGAGCTCTCTCAGCCGCTTGCCGCTGCGTCAGCGAGCGTGGCTGACGGGGGTCCCAAACTAGTTAGAATAAAGACTCTCTGCTTTTGCATTGGACTCGGCTGGCTCCCTGGTGGTCTATTGGGGATCTTGAAATCTGGGCATAACAGTGCCCATAAATTTTGGCTGTCACAACCTTTGGAAGTTAGGAAGGATTAAAAGAAGGCTGGGCCTATCAGACATTATATCAAGATCCCTGGGGAATCTGAACATTTAACAACTTCTTAAATAATTTGAATGCCTAATCAGGTTTGAGAAACACTGCCTGGTCTCATCTCCAGAGATCAGGCTGACTGATCTCACTGCTAAAGACCCTCTTTTGACCAAGAACTCACCTCTCTTTGTCCAGAGACTCCTTGGGGCACCCCAAAGCCTTTCTCCCTACTATCTTTCAGCTTCTTCAAATTCCTGGCTAAAGGCACCGGCTCATTAAACCATGGCTTGTAGCTGGCATGAAAGCTCCCTCCTTCCCAGTTGCATCTACTCTAATCCTCTTCAGGACCCTGTCTTTCCCCACAGCCTCCTCCTGGGCTCCACTAGATGGAGCTAGGCTTCCCCTCTCATCTGTCTGCTCTTCCTCCCTCTGCTCATGGCCTGGCCCCTGGTTTTGATAGGATTCTCCAGGAGTTAGGCTGATAGTAGGGAGGCTGTCAGCTCTGATGGTGGTAGTGGCTAAAGAGGGCAAGGTGCAAGATGTAGTTTTTTTCTGGGATATTCTGTTGTTCCCCCAAATACTGGCCCTCTAAAAGTTTTAACAGAGGCAGTCAATCACCAATGTGCCTTAAAATATGTGGGCATTTGCCTTTCCCCAGAGTTTCTAGGTAAATGGCTGAAAGACCCTTTGGGGAAACCTAGGGGGAAGATCCACAGCCGTGGTTGACATTTTGGTAGTTCCTTTTCTGAAGCTTACTTAGACTTCCCTTTCAAGGGATGTGGGGCCTCTGAACTGATTCAGATCTGGGAACTGGATAAGAGGTCAGGAATCTCTATTGTGCTATCTATTGTGTTAGCTCAGATCTGCAAATCAGTTACGACAGGGGTGGCCTTGCCATTCTCAGTCCCAAGTACCCCATGGACAATCAACCACAGCGAAGATCTATGTGGCACTGACCACATAAAGCAATCTCCAGACTTGCAATTTGAACTCTGACATCCTAGGATTTTCCTGTCCCCACTGAAATCAGGGAATCCTTTATGCTATAATGGCTCGGGCTAGCATTCCTGTCTATGGAGAACAGCTACTAAAATGCTTTTCAAAGATGTGGAAGCTCCACACACTCATGCATTTTTCAAAACCTTAGTGAAGGGAGTCATTGTTGAGTGGATGGGTAAGTCACACTTGATAAATCCTCTCCAGCTAGGGCTATGGATTCTCTCTACCAAGTAGTGCTAACAATTCCTTGGTATTGTTATGCAAAATGCATTTAGAATTGGCCAACTGTGAATCCTGGTTCAAGTCCACAACTGAGCAAACAGGTTTATCCCAGTTGCTGTAGATGTGGTATTTTAATTAGAATGTTAATTGGGTACACTCATAAAAATAAATTCAGACTTAAAATTATACTCTTCCTACTTCATAAAATACTTCAAGAATCCACATCAACATGTGTTCAAGATTTCCTTGATATAAATTAGCCAGTTTGAAATTATTTGGGTGTGTGAGTCTTCACCTCTCAGCAACTGGTACCCAGGATCAGCTGAGATCTTTCTGTTGCTCTAGATCAGCAGTTTTCAACCTGTGGGTCGCGACCCTTTGGCAGTCGAACGACCCTTTCACAGGGGTCGCCTAAGACCATCCTGCATATCAGATATTTACATTACGATTCATAACAGTAGCAACATTACAGTTATGAAGTAGCAACGAAAATAATTTTATGGTTGGGTCACAACATGAGGAACTGTATTTAAAGGGCCAGAAGGTTGAGAACCACTGCTCTAGATGAGGAGTGGGGCAACTGATCTCTTGCAATGGAAACCCCTCAATCTGAGCCATTCAGCTTTCAGACAGGAAGAGGAGGCTGGTGCAAGTTATTTTGAGTTTTGGTGTAGGGATAATTTGAGTTTCCCAAATGCTCTCATAAATCCACATTACGATTTGTGAAGTCCCATTCTTTCTTAATCACAGACCTGTTTCAGCAAGGAGACTGGTGAGAGCTGTAGGCTCCACTGACATTAGTTTGGCAACCCTCAGATCAGCCTTTACTTTTAATTTCAGCTATTTCAGGTGTTCTGTGACAGGAGATAAGAGATTATCTCGGTCCAGTCAGAGAAAGTCCTGGGTTCCCTGCCCATATAGAGTGACACTTGAGCTATTAATTAGTTGCTTTCTTTAAACTGCTTGGATCAGCCATCCAGCTCTGTAACCACTTCTAGGATTTCATGGGAACTCAATTGATCCCTAGAGAACTTTCGGCAAAAATTCACTCAAGTTTTTCTACTGTATGATATGGGCTCCTAGATTAGCATCCTTCAAGCTACGTACATTTTCATTTTTTGGGGGTCCAATAAAGCCAGATTACAGAGAGAGAGAGAGAGAGAGAGAGAGAGAGAGAGAGAGAGATTGATTGATTTTCCTAACATTCAAGGGAGGAATTACCTGGCATGTTAGTTTTCCTCAGCCAGAGACAGGACTCTTGTCTTCCACCAAGACCGAGACAATTGTAAATTCCTGAATTGGAGTTCAGAGGGTTCAGATGCTGGGCAAAGAAAAAAGAATAATATGTTCATCACAAAACTAGCAGAACAGACTCAACCTTAGGATAAACTGAATTTATGTAGGGAGAAACTGGGTTTGTCAGGAGAGGCTTTCTGATAAAGTACTGACCTTCTTCTCTCCTTGCAGGCCGAATCAGTGTGGCAGGAAAAGCTGAAAGGAGAACATTGTGTTCAGGGGGTAAAAATAAACTTGGTCAGCCCTAACCGGTTTGGCTTAGTGGATGGAGCGTCGGCCTGCGGACTGAGGGGTCCCAGGTTCGATTCCGGCCAAGGGCATGTGCCTTGGTTGTGGGCACATCCCCAGTGGGGAGTGTGCAGGAGGCAGCTGATCGATGTTTCTGACTCTCTGTCCCTCTCCCTTCCTCTCTGTAAAATATCAATAAAATATATTTAAAAAAAAAAAAAAACTTGGTCAGGGGGCACCCGGACTTGAACCGGGGACCTCTTGATCTGCAGTCAAATGCTCTACCACTGAGCTATACCCCCACCTGCTTGCCTAAGCCTAATAAGTACTCTAAACCTATAAAGCCACACCCTGACTGTCACCACCTTGAGATGTGTTCTTGCTAGTACTATGTCATCATATACTCTGCAAACTGGGGTTTTATCTTGGGAGTTTGACAAGATTTATATAATAAAAGAACCACATTTAGGGCTCCAGTCTACTAACAGGCCTCCCACCATCTCAAAGGAAGGTTGAACCCCCAGAAAGTGCTGTGTGTGTAAACTCACCATGTGCACACAGCAGTGAGCGATGCTCACTGTCACCTCATAACAGGCTGTCTGTCTGGAATCAATGTGCTTCCCAGCATTGGAGATGGCAGTCTGCTGCATTGGAGATGGCAGCCTGCTGCAGTGCCTGACAGAATAGCTCTAAGTTTTTCTGTGAACATACAAATTCTGAGATACAGGTTTTAAGGTATTGGGCCTGTACCAAGTTTAAAAATCCAACGTTTAAGCTCAACGTGCTATCCACACAGAACTCACGGTGGTCATTACACTATTTTCTGGGCATTTGCTTTGGTTGATGTGGGTCATGAGTTAAATCATTTAAGCAATTTAATAAATTGTGTATTTATCATTCTGCTCATTTTTCAGCTAACAACTCGAGAGAAGATTACAAATTCCACCACACTTTCAGCACCGAAATTGCAAAGTTCTTGAAAGTCTCCCCAGAGAAGTTGGTCATGATGCAGCCTGAGAAATTCCAGCCCAAATATAAGCCCAGGAGCAACATGATGGACATTCAGGTGGGTGAGGGCGCTTGGGACATGGGACAATGTGTGCTTCTAACAAGCTCCCAATGATTCTGACTCACGTACAGTTTTGGAGCTATTGATTTAATTTGTGCCCTTACTTGTATAGATCTGAAAAAAAAAGTCAGAAATTAAAATCACCCCCAAACAAAACGTACCTGATTAATGACAAAGTCACAACAATGTTTATTCTCAAGAGCCTTTTTGTGCTAAACACACTGAGACCCTCTTGATTTCTCCTCTTCTTCCCCCTTATTCTGCACTTTCGGAGTCCTTCCATATGCCAGATGGAAGTATGCCATGCATGGAAAAGTGACGAAGTGACAATGAGAGAGATTTATGGTCACTGCAGCATAGACACCGGACAGAGTCAACATGTGGTCAGAACAAAAGGGAGTGCCAACAGGTGACACTTGAATCAGGGACTACTGGATATGCAGTCAAATACTCCACCCCTGTCCACAGATATCTCCTATCTGTTTACTTTCCTGATTAGAACCATTTCACCTGTGTTGTCCCACCCAAGGATCCAATGTGTATTGTAATTTCTCTTAATTTCTAGTAAACTAATGGGAACTGACTGACTAACTGATCTTGCTTTAAAGAGAGAGAAAGAGAAATCTAAAAAGCAACATGTGAAAAAAAATTGAATTCTACAATTGACAGCTGATTTATCAATAGAAGTGATGGTATCCAGGTCACAATGGAAAAGTATTTTTATAGTGCTAAAAGAAAATAATAGCCCAACTAGAATTGTTTACAGCAGCAATTACTTTAAATACAAATTTATTAAAAACTCCAATTAAGCCCTGGCTGGTTTGGCTCAGTGGATAGAGCATCGGCATGTGGACTGAAGGGTCCCAGGTTCGATTCTGGTCGGGGGCACATGCCTGGGTTGCGGGCTCGATCCCCAGTAGGAGACGTGCAGGGGGGCAGCCAATCAGTGATTCTGTGTCATCATTGATGTTTATGTCTCTCTCTCCCTCTCCCTTCCTCTCTGAAGTCAATAAAGACATATTTAAAAAAAGAACACACACAAAAACTCCAATTAAAATATAAGATTTTCAGACTGAATGAGAAAAAACTATTAGCTACATATGTGAATGTTACCTTAAATATGGGGACACAGAAAAGTGGAGAGTGGAAGTATAAATAAAGATATATTATGCAAATACTAAACAAAAAGGCTGGTTTAGCAATATTAATATGAAAAATAGATTTAAGTCAGTAAGCATTCCTACAGATAAAAGGAATATTTTAAAATGATAAAGAAGTCAATCCATCAGGAATATATTGCAATTCTAAATCTAAATGCACCCAATAACATAGTGTCAAATACATAAAACAAAAATGAACAGAGCTAAAAGAAGAAATAGACAAATTCTCAACCATAGTGGGAGGTTTTAACACAACTTTTTCAATAGCTAATAAAACAGGCAAATAAAATATCAGTAAGAATGTGGAGAATCTGAACAACAGAACCAGCAAACATGACCTAATTGATTTTATATAAATGTATATGTTATTTTCACAAAAACCAGGATACAAGCAAGAGGGAAAAGATGTAATAATAAAGGGGGCACCGACTGGCTGGTATGCCAGGTGGTTAGAGCACAAGCCTCTGCACTGGAGGGTCACAGGTTTGATTCCTGGTCAGGGGCATGTACTTGGGTTGCAGGTTTGGCCCCTGCTCTCCTGTTAGGGCATGAGCGGGAGGCAACCAATCGATGTGTGTCTCTCACATGGGTGTGTCTCTCTCAGATGTATCTCTCTCACATCGATGTTTCTCTCCCTCTCCCTCACTCTCTTCCCTCCCCTCTCCCTTCCACTCTCTCTAAAATTCAATGGAAAAAATATTCTCACTACTTGGTTGAGGATTAAAAAATTCTTTTAAATATATATTTTTATTTACTTCAGAGAGGAAGAGAGAGATAGAAACATCAATGATGACAGGGAATCATTGATTGGCTGCCTCCTGCACATTGGACCAAGCCCACAACCCAGGCATGTGCCCTTGACCAGAATCAAACCTGGGACCCTTCAGTCCACAGGCTGACGCTCTATCCACCAAGCCAAACTGGCTAAAAAGACTTTTTTAAACTAAGGGGGACACAAAGGGATCCTGGGGGTAGGGGTGTTCTATTTTTGAGCTGATGATCCATTTGTAGGTATCTATAAGTATTTATTCAAAAGTACTAAATTATATAAATACTAGAGGCCCGGTGCACAAAAATTTGTGCACTGGGGGGGGGGGCCCTCAGCCCGGCCTGTGCCCTCTTGCAGTCTGGGACCCCTCAGGAGATAACGACCTGCTGGCTTAGGCCTGCTCCTGGGTGGCAGAGGGCAGGCCCAATCCCTAGGTGCAGCCCCTGGTCGGGCTCAGAGCAGGGCTGATT